TTTATGGTTTGCACTTTGAGGTCAATTTTATCCGAGATTAGGATTGCAACCCCTGCTTTTTTTTGCATTGCTGTTTGGTTGGTATGACTTTCTCAAACTTTTGATTCTCAGCCTATTTTTGTCTGTAGCCTTGAGATGTGTTTCCTGTAGGCAGCAGATTGATGGGTTGTGTTTTCTAAGCCAGTCTACTAGTCTCGGTCTTTTAATGCCTGAGTTCAGGCCATTGATATTCAGGGCTATTATCTCCATCTGCGGACTCTGTGATGTCATCTTATACCTTTTTTGTTGAGAGTTTTCCTATTTTTCAAAGATGTCAATCTTAAAAGAATTATTCGAGTAATTGAATTTTCTTGTAGAGAGCCCTCGTGGTATAGTGGATTTTGAGTTCGGCTGCTAACCACGAGGTCAGCACTTTAAAACCACCAGCTGTTCCTTAGAGTAAAGATTAGGCTTTCTACTTCCCTAAAGAGGTACAGAGTCAGAAACACACAAGGGCACTTCTCTGTCCTGCAGGGACACTATGAGTTGGAATAGACTAGATGGCAGTGAGTTTTTGGAGTTATGTTTTGGTATTCAACTCTTTTGTGAAATGTTTGTGTAAATAAAGATCATCAACCTTATGAAGTTGTCAGTTGAATTTTTCATTGCACCACACCTTGTCATTTAAATGTTAAGTTTAAATAAGACTGGTGATGACGGTGGATTTATTACATGCCACTGAGACTCTACATAGCAACACTGTAGGTCAGAGTAGAAGTGAGCCCTAGAATTTCAAGGATTAGCAGCCACTACCCACCAGGGCTTCTGGGAATAAGGTAGACTTGAATATTTATGCTAGGTTTTATTTATTAGGTTTCTATTTTTGTTTTTCTCCTCCATATGTTTTATAGGACAACATCGAAAATAAATGGAGTAGAATATGTTCCTTTCATGAGTGTTGATCTCAGGGAACGTTTTGCCTATCCAATGCCTTTCTGGTAAGTAATCACTGTTGCAATTTTACCTTCCCAGATCATTTTATTATTTTAGTACTTTGAGGTCCACTTTAATTTATAGAGCTTTGAAATTATAATGGATAATGCTTCTTAATTTAAAACTCTGGTTGGAAGAGAGGGATGGCTAAGGGAAGGAGTATTTCTGTTGTTACTTGCATCATGATAGGCACGTGTGGCTTTCCTTTTGTTTCAGCACTCTTGCAGTGTCTCACACAGAACTTAGCAGGAAGTGAGTGTTCATTACATGTCTGCCAAATCAAGGAATCACAGCAGAATTACAAGCTGATAAAGGGATGGAATGGGAAAATGAAATGGAATAATAGCATCATTTACAGTTCCAGAAAGACTTAAAATTAAAGAGTTAGCAGTCTTCCAGGACATTGCTAGGTTGTGTCAGCAGCCTGAAGAATACATGTTTATTGGTTTGGGACTCAGCTTCTAGTCACCATTGGGCATCTCTGGCAAATATGTATATGTAATAGCATTCATCAAAACATCTGTTTTAGCAAAAAATTATTGAAATAAACTAAATGCCCAATAATATGTCATAATTGGCTCACAATCTAAATATTAGGCCACGAATAAAAAATGTCTTAAGAAATACAGAAGTACTATATGATACATTGAAAAGGTACAGAATATCCATGGAAA